TCTGACAAGTAATATCCATATCTCTAAGTCTTTTCCTTCATCTGATCCTCCTTTCTCTCACCACCCTTCTCTCTCTCTCTCACCACCCTTCTCTCTCTCTCTCTCTCTCTCTCTCTCTCTCTCTCTCTCTCTCTCTCTCTCTCTCTCTCTCTCTCTCTCTCTCTCTCTCTCTCTCTCTCTCTCTCTCTCTCGTCCGTCTGTCCATCTCTTTGTCCGTCTCTCCGTCCGTTCGCCCGCCCTTCCGTCTCTCAGTCCGTCCGTCCGTCCGTCCGCCCTTCCGTCTCTCAGTCCGTCCATCCGTCCGTCCGTTTCTCCATCCGTCCGTCCATCAGTCACTCTCTCCGTCCGTCCGTCATCAGTCTCTTCGTCCGTCCATCCGTCTCTCCGTCCGTCCGTCCGTCTCTCCGGAGGTGCAACTTTTCCCAAATAGTTCTTGGAACGTCACACAGTAATGTATATCGAACCCACATATTACATAGAGGTGCAACTTTTTCAGGTCCCACGTTCACCACGTCCAACGTTCTAACAGGTCCCAATTTTCCTGCCTTTTGGGTCATTGACCTGACCTGGAAGGTCAACCGATGACCTAGGACCTTAAAATTGGGTATCATCGGCTTCCTCTCGTCACGGGCAACACGCTGGTTTTTTTCCGCGAAGCTCTAGCTTGATCAGGAGCGAAACGGCAAGGGGTTATACCTTATACGTTCGCGGCTGGAAAAAAAAAACACCTATACGGGCGAGGGTCAAGTTGAAAGTATTAATTTGGTTCAAAACGATGATGTAGATAAGTTAATTATTTAAATCTAAATATCCTATGACGAGAGCGATGGACATTTTTGGTATGCAGTGTTATCCATTGAAAACAGGTCAAAGCTATTGAGTTTTTAATTTAGTGGTCGCCGCTTACTAATCATGCGGCATACACGCCGCACATAACCGCCAATGCCGCAACGCAGCTTGAATTTCGAAGTAAGCATTTAGTCTCACCCGCATTCATATGGTACCCGTCGTGTGTGTCCGAGAATTTCTCTAGTTTCTGAGGAATTTTTCGGGACCCATGCTCTGCTCATACTGCATCCGAATATACGCGTGAAACACCGCCCAGGGCTATCCATGTGTCAGGGCAATCCAACCCACGTGATGGGCTCGGCCCCAGCGGAGCATGAGGTCCTGGACCATGTGGTGCCACCATTGCACAGCTCATGTACGGCCTTTTTACCAGTCGTTGACTGTCACGTGGTCAAATAAACCTTTATGTATGTATGTATGTACAAGGTATATTGAGTGAAGGGTAGGACGAACTTTGGTAGGAATTTATAGTATAACTACTAGAAACCTACTATATGTGGTCGGGACTAGCAAAAAGTTAGTTCAAACTAGAATATGGTAGCGCTTATGGTTGGCAGTCGTGACGCGCACGTGACATTCATTTCTTAATTTTTTTTAAATAACAGGTTTTAGGGGTGTGATGGTCCTGAAGCGCATCGGGACCGCCTGTAGCATAGATGGCAGCATTGTTCTCGGCTGTCACCGTAAGGTGCTGCCACCGCGGGTGTGCGGTCGTTTTGGGAACTGCATTACGACCAAGCTGCGTTAAATGAGTGATTTATACTATCTCGAATCTCGATTAGTATTTCACATTGGAATATCGCAGTGAAATTATTTGATACGTTTTCTCCAAGTGTGACCGATTGCATTTGGTAAAAGGCATATTTATGGCCCGTTGCCCCGGCCCGCTGGCTGACCTTCGTGCCCCAGACCGTTTGCTGACCCTCGGACTCGGAGTGTAATCGCCACGCCGATTGTGGATTGCTCTTGATCGTCAATACATACATACATACATACATATTTAAATCTGTTTATTGTCGGCCGGTTTCGTCTGCCCATACTTGTTATTTTTGCGTGTCACCAGCTGACCGGCCTTGTGCGCGATTCGACACGAAACCCGGCGAAGGAAGACACCTTGGAACCTTCTACAACCACTACAACTAAAACTACTGATCTACGATCTCTCAACAAACTACAGACTGCATCTGTCTACCGTCCATATGTCTCCTCCATTCTAATGCCCAATACATTTATTTCCATTTATCAATCTTTTATCCTTTGTAGCGTACCGAGCTATATCGCTGATGGTGTCGACAACAAGGGGCCCATTAGTGGGCAGATACATTCAATTAGCTATTAATATTTGACTATGCAAACATTCAAGAATCTACATCATTCAATTCTAGCCAAAATCACGCGGCGCTCCCAGGATTCAAACTCAAGACCCTCGGACCCGTAGCCCGATACGCTACCGACTGCGCTACCGAGGACCTCGCGCCGACGATCGGAGAGGCGGATCGCGGGTGCTGGCGTGCAGAGAAATCTTTACCCTGTACGCCGTAGAAGATCGGCTGGATTTCGTGAAAAATGGTAGAGGAATTGTCGAAAGAAAATTCATCGATCTATTATTTGAGACTAAGAACCATTGATTCCTTCAAAGGTTGACAGAGATATCGCTCGCCGAAAACAGGCCATTTAACATGTACAGGGTGTCTCAAAAGTTCGTTGACACATTTCCCGTGCCAAAAAAGCTTATAAGAACCGGCCAAAAATCTAATGTTTTGGTGTCTGCGTGTACACTAGACAAATATGCATGCTTTGACAACTGATTCGGAAGGTTGGAAACCAAACCCTTCGCTGTATCTCCAAAAATATTTGCCCATACCGATTTTCGTCGCTCCGTCAGCTGCCGGAGGCTGATAAAAGGTTACCAGCTTTCAAGCTCTTGCAGGGGAATCCCCTGCAGTTTCTGCGTCGGATTTAGGTTTGACGAGCTCCCCGGCAACATCCGCTTCTCCCTGAAAGCCGACAGCTTGCATCGACACCATCCGTGAGTATTTTGTAGGTTTTTATGGCGCTAACTCCTTCATGAATGACTGGCGCCGACCTCCCAAGCACCATTTTCCTTTTCAAAACAACCCCATTCCTGAACAAATGCAAAGTGCCAGGGGCAAATTTTTCGCAGCATATCGTAGCAGAATGTGTCGGTTATCTGTATCTCAGACATATTTTGCAAAGTTTGCAAATCCCAAACGCTCGTCGTTCTCCATGCCAAGACCTTCACTGGGTTGCGGAGTGTTTTCCGCAGGAGAGGTTCTGCTTTGTAAACGGCCAAAACCTGTCCATCGTGCGGTTTTGTCGGGATTTTGTGTCTAAAAGAAAGCTATTTGCTCCAGATCTGCCTCTTGAAACTTCGTAAGATAAAACTTTACATAAATTGACACTTTTGGAGGGTCAGTTGTCCTTGGCATTGACGATTTTCGTGTTATTTTTCCCAAAAATTTAGGCTGGGGGGATCCGTGCTATCGTAAGTTATATCGGACGTGGCTGCGCAACTTCTCTCGGTACGAAACTTCTCTTGATCGGAAGAAAATCGGAGGGATGAAAAAGAAAGAGGGGCAAATCGGAGCTACGTTGTACGTAAGTTGTTTCGCAGCGTTTAAATGCCAGTTTTACTACGATTTAAATGCCAAGCAGATCAGCTGACCTCGTAGTACCATGTCGATAAGGTCGAATTCCTCTGACACAAGCTAAGGACTCTTTAAGGCCTTCGGAGGGTCGTTTGACGCGAGCTCAGGGCCCTCTGACGCAGGTTTAGGGCCCTTTGACGCCCTTTAAGGTCTTCTGAGGTAGGTTTAACGTTGGCTGAGAGCCCTTTGAACCCATCTGAGGGCCCTTTGAGGCCATCTTGTGGCCCTTCATTTGGCCATCTGAGGGCCCTTTGACACCAGATGAGGGCCATTTGACGCTAACCGAGGGCCCTTCGAGACCATCTGAGGACCCGGTGACCCCATCTGTGGGCCCTTTGAGGTCTTTTGAGGGCCATTGAAATTTCACTACAATACCCCTGGCTGCGCTACTGGGCATTTATGGACTCGTATGGGCCTGCTGGGGAACGAGATGGGCCCTCCCGGTCTTTTTAATCATTATTTCAGTTCATTTTACATGGTCTTCGGCGGTCTAAAGATTAGGGGCCCCAACTCGAATGGGGGGGGGGGAGGCCCGTGTGCCCTCTCCTGTGTGCGGCCTTGCCGACACTACACCGCTTCCCCTCCCTCCGCCATAAACGCACCGCTGCACTGCTTGGCGCCGACAAATACGGACCGGCGCCGCAACCGGCTCCCCCGCGGCCTGCCTCGCGTTGACATAGCCCTTCCCGAACACCAGTGTAACCCCCACGCGGCCTAGGTATCGCCGCGCCCACCTGTCCGCGGCGCGGCCTCTGATGGCGTATCGGATCATTGATGGTGCGATACATGTTTTGGTCAGATTTTTGCAATTAACGCGAAAAAATGCCCAAAACACTTTTTAAACTTCAAAATTGAAAAAATAATTACAAAAATGACGTGAAAGTGACCGTTTTCAACGTGTAAATTTAAAACGCTATAGCGCAGCCATTTTTGAAGAAATCGACTTCAAATTTTGCACACCTGTTCATCAACCATATTTGTTTAACATATATTTCGGTTTTGTGAAAATTTTAAAAATTTCTTATATTTTTCTCTTGAGAAAGAGGTAAAGCTTCGCTACGATCGGCCTTCCGATCGACCGAGAAGATTCGTAAAGTTAGTTCGTATCTTCACCATTTGCGATACAACTTGCGTATCTACTTAGCCTACGATGTGATGGATCCCTCCAATATCTGTTCCGATTCAACTTACGTTTGATCGCAACTGCGAGGTGCCTTGCGATGCGATCACATGGATCCCCCCAGCCTTAGCATTATAGATATTATAATCAACTAGAGGGGCAGCATTACGCGCAGTGTAATGAATCAATTTTCATTAAAATCGGCCAAGTAGCGGCCGAGTTATGGCCAGAATAAATTTGGCGTCTCCTCCTGGCCGGCGGTGCCATAGATATAAAAGACTAGATGGGACATTGGCAGTGTTTTAGTGCGTGCGGCTGGCCGCCATGTTTGTGAGGGCGGGAATCTGCGGCGCTGTGTAAACACTACGGGAGGAGGGGGGTATTTGAGACTGATTTTGTGGTATTTTTCGACCGAAAAGTGCTAATCTTTTTTGCTCACGGCATTCTTTGGAATGTGTAGATTGTGGAACAAGTGCTGAAATATGCTTATCTATTGTAATTTGGCTATGTTAGCCTTAGACATGTTGCACTGTTGACGCTGATGAAGAATAGGCGGCACCAAAGGTAGATTTGCTTGGCATGCCTGTTTTAGATTTAATTCAGTTCCCATGTTTTTTTTTGTGCACACCACAATCCTTTAATTATTCTTGCATGGATAGAGCATCAGTCATATGATTTTTCACAAAGAAAACTTACCTAGATAGGTACCAGAACATTGGCAGCGGAAAGCAGACTCATTACCTACACTTGCTTTGCCTGCTCACTTTCTACTGTTGCCTTCAATGGACAATATTTATGAAGTAAGAAGGTTCTATGATTATAGGTTTTAAATAAGTACTTTACTTAATGTCATCAGTTAGTATTAATTAGTAGTTCAGTGCCAAACGAAAAATTCATGCACTATGCCAGATGCCTCGGGGGCTCTTATCCGCTCTGGGTTCAGAGTGCAGTGGCATACCACGCTCACCCTCAACCAGAGCTGATAGATAGTGAAAATGCCAGACGTCATGATATCTGCACCAGTGAACCGTGTCGCACATTTGATCCCAATAATGAACAGCACAGGGGTGACGTAAAAATGTGCGTTAGTTGGAGCACCTAAACTCAGATTGTCATTACCTAATTAGTTTTCACATTGTAAAGCTTAAACTTCATGCTCTTTTGGCTCACCTGTTATCAGTATCAGTAAATAGGGTATTAGTAAATCTGGCGTTACCATCAATGCTAAGTGCTAACAAGTAAATATGAAGTCCAAGGAAGATAAAAATCATAATCTTACTTGACCTAACCTTACCTACTAACCTAACTAACCTACAACCTACAAACCTCAACCTACATACAACCTCCATACCTACAACCTACCCACCTACAACCTACCAACCTTATATGTGCCGACGGTGGCACCAGATTTATGGATACCCTTATTTGTTAGGTACTTCACTCCACTTCTCATTTTATTTGAAGCTCATTTCAATTCTTGTATTTAAGTCTGTGTAAACTATTATTTTAAAAACCTGATGCTTTTCCATGACTGTAATCTCACTGTTTGCTATGTGTATTTTGTAGTGTGTACTGTGTGCAGATCCAGTATCCTACACTTGTATGCTACAGGCCTTGTTTTGATCTGACTAACTGTTAATATGTTTCAGCTTTAAAGACTAGTATCTTTTGAAATTGGAATTTGCCTCTCAGTCTCTCAAGATGCCAAATAGATGTGCAGGATTTGATTGCTGACAAACCAGGGATGAGGCTCAATAGTCAAGAGATCACCCTGCATTGGCAAGTAAAACCTACAGACTCTTGATTTTTTATATTGTTACAGGTTATCTGTCACCGAGAGCGATTGCTGTAGTTCAATTTCTTGCATCAAAATTGGCAGAATATGACTTCACTGATCACTCTGACGTCATTTCCGGCCGACCTATGGTAGCTACACAATTTTTATTTCTATAAAATGTTTCAGATTGATGCAGCCGAAGGTACTGCAAGTTTCGTATTGACACGTCTAGTGGTTTAGAAATATTGCAATAAATATATATTTTAATTTTTTTTTCAATATATAAATGTAAATATTTTATTGCAGAAAACAGGAGAGGGGCTCTGTAGAGCCCCACCCTCCAGTCATGCGTGGGTAAAGGCCCATCAGTCACTAAAACCAGAATAAGTGCAAACAATTATTACCAAATGCCCGGAGACTGCTTTACCATTGCCAACATGTGTGTGTGTGTGTGTGCGTGTGCGTGTGTGTCAACAATGTGTTAACAACAAATACAACACTTGTGCCTGGCGTATGTTAACACTAAACACTATTAGCCATATTTTATTGATACTAATCGAACCTTCCAGGTGGCTGGAACAACCCCAGTGCCGCACAGTTCTGCGGGATATTCCGGCACCTGCTCCACCGCTGCGGCGTCCGGCCCGGCAGCACAGGGAAAGTGGCAGCCCTCGACCCGACCAGCATCCTGGCAGTCGGTCACACGACCAGCGGACGGGGACCCAGCCTTACTACCTCGGCCTCCACCACCTCAGACAACGGTGTCACGGCACTCCACATCATCACGGAGCACGACTTCCAGCCTGGGCTGTCGTCTGGTGGGCAACATCGCCACCTACATCGCAGGGTTCGTGGTGAAGAAGGCGCTCGACTCTGTCAGCTGTAGCACCTGTCAGGAGGCCCTGGTGAGCGACATCCAGCCGGACGACATGACACAGCTTTACCACCTCTTCATCATCTCTGCCAGATGAGCTAAGGTGGGGACGGGTTACATGCCTGGGATCTGACTGAGACCCGCTCATACCCTGCCGAAGTGTTGGTGATTTCAGCGGTCGGCTGTCTCTAGCCGGTGTCAGTGAGTCGCGGCCAGCTGCCGCTGGAGTGGGTATCTACCGTCGATAGCTGCTGTGTGGCGGATAGCGTGGATTTGGATGGACACTTCATATTAATGAACAGATCAATGTCTGGCCGATAAAAGACGTATTTTGTCGATGATTGCTTAGTGACTGAGTGGGTCCACTGGCGACCAATGCAGTGGGCGCTGGGTTAACGCCTCGCCTCTTGTGACCGTGTCGATATGTAGCACTGTTAATTGCCGATTCGTTGCCGGCCGTCTCTGCTCCGTGGCTGGCTGATCCGGCACAAACTGGTGTTCGTGGCTGAAGGCGCGGCTACAGTTACACTAGCTCGCCACGTGCCTGTGCGACTATCGTCGGTGCTGTCTGCAAGGGCGATGTCGGTGCCTGTAGGGGGCGCGGATTGATTCAAAGTGAGGAATGGGTCATCGGAGCTCGGGTCAGGTCATGTTCGGCTAAAATAAGCGGATTTTGCGATTTGCCGCATCCGGGTGAATTTCCTTGCCTTCTAGTGCATGTTTATGCATTTTACATGCGTTTTTTTAGTGTTGATGTCTAGATAACGTGCATTTGCCTCGAGGTCAAGGCTGCGTTTCATATGGGCAGTTTTCGGAGCATCTTGCTTATTTTATTCGTAATCCTTAATTATGTTTGCGGATTTGTGCCCGCAAATCATTTTTTAAAGTAAGATTGACACGGGATTCGAGATCGGCGCCCATAAATACACTTCACATGACCCGCCATGTGTCAAGGCCATCCGAGGTCATCTAAGGTCGCTGACCTTGTATGACCTTATGTGACCCGGTTCGCTAGATTTCGAGATGAGGTTGATTGGGAATGATGTAACCCATTTCGCCGACAGTTCACGCGTTTTGGTCGATTTTATAGCGAAAGATCTCAAACTCCAGTGACTTTACTGGTTCGATTTCCAGTGTTTGACCTGACCTCTGAGTTCACCTGTTGACCTAGTACCCTGAAATTTGGTATCACTGGTTTACTCACATCGCGGACAGCATACCTATTTTTTCCGTTCTTGCTCCGTCGAGGGGCGAACGGCTGGAGTTCACTCCGTTCACCCTGGCTTCCCCTACTCGTAAGACGCTGACAAACTACGAACGGGTGAGGGCTAAAATTGCACTTATTGTCGATCATTGTTCATTGCATACTGCATACATAGATATAAAGTATGGTAGCCATAATGGGAAACGAATTTAATCTTAAATTAGCATGCCAATTGCATCTACCTTCGGTGCCGCATATCCTTCATCAGCGTCTTCAGGGCTATATGTCTAGGGCTGATGTAATTACATTACAATAAATACACATGTTTCTGGCCTTGTTTCACAATCTACTCATTCTAAAGAATGCCATAGGTAAAAAAGATTAACACTTTTCGGTCGAAAAATACCACAAAATCTGTCCCAAACACCCCCCTCCTCCCATAGTGTTCACACAGCGCCGCAGATTCTCGCCCTCACCAACATGGCGGCCGCTGCTACGTATTCGCGAGTCGCTCCCGACATGGGGGTGCCCTATCTAGTCTTTATATCTATGGGCGGTGCTCTGTTCCGGTACTAATTGCCAAAGGTCAGTGACCTTCCGGCTCTGATTTCACTCAGTTTTGCAAGCGAAGAAACTGAGGATAATGCGCGTGCTCTCTGATCGGCGACCGCCGCGGCCCAAAATCCCGCAAAGATGCGCCCGCCACGTGCAAACCGGCGAGCGCACCCCCACCAAAATTTAATATGACAAACAGATGCACGCGTCCGACTTGCGCCTAAAATTCCACCCCCGTAGCCCGCACCGTTCCGGAGCAATAGCCCGCCAAGCGTGACTGACGCGTTACATACATAGGGGAGAGTGGGGCAAAGCGGCCACCCGGGGCAAAGCGGCCACCCACCGTTCTAGCCCTTCATAGCTGGCGTCAGTTCCAATTTATGGTTTCCAATTATACTTCTCTTCACGGTCGTTCGAATGAGCCAGACCGGGGTTTCAGGCCCATCACCATTGTTCTGTGAAACACGGAAAAGCATTTCTTGCCAGGTTACCAACTATGTTTACAATTTTTAAATGTTATGTTATTCCATAACCGTTTTGGAATTTTTATAAGCGTTCTTGTCCATGCATTGCATGGTTATCGTACATGTATTCTACCAATTTTAATGTTTTTTACCCCACTAATAGCTAAGCTGGAATATTTTTGTCTCGGACGGTATGCGCGGGGCAAAGTGGCCGGGGCAAAGTGGCCACCCCCCAATTGGCCATAAGTTGCTTCCATCTGGATAAAAAAACATTACCTATTTATATTCAAATGTGTCGTCATGCATTCATCTTGGCCACTTTTCAGTTGCATGAGTTACCAAACAATGCAATTAAATGTTTATTTTCATGAAAATCCTTTCTTTGTTTGCCTACAGGTGAAAGATGATAAAGTAAACATCCATCCTCGCTTAATCTTGTCACCATCAAATACACTAGTCGTACACGAGGCAACTATTTTGTTTCTCGTATCGGGACTTGAGAAGACGCCGGTGGCCGCTTTGCCCCAGGGTATGGGGCAAAGTGGCCAATATGCATAGGTTTAAAGTTTTGTCAATATCTTTCATATGTGAACGCCATTGGAAATAAAACGCAGTTGAAATAAAAAGCAACTTACTAGGGATCACATTGGTAAAGAAAGAATCTTTCCAAGTTTAAAAACCAAGCGTTGGCATCGTGAGAAGCGTTAGGGTGGCCGCTTTGCCCCACTCCCCCCTACATACGTACAGACATTTTGATTTTTATATATGTAGGGGAGAGTGGGGCAAAGCGGCCACCCTAACGTTTCTAACGATGCCGACGCTTGATTTTTAAACTTGGAAAGATTCTTTCTATACCAATGTGATCCCTATCAAATTGTCTTTTATTCCAACTGCGTTTCATTTCCAAAGGCGTTCACATATGGGAGATATTGACAAAACTTTAAACCTATAGCATATTGGCCACTTTGCCCCATCCCTGAGGCAAAGCGGCCACTGGCGACTTCTCAAGTCCCGATATGAGAAACAGAATAGTTGCCTCATGCACGACTAGGGTATTTGATGGTGACAAGGTTTAAGGGAAGATGGATGTTTACTTTGTTATCTTCCCACCTATTGCTAAACAAAGAAAGAATTTTCTTGGAAAAACATTTAATTGCATAATTTGGTAACTCATGTAACCGAAAAGTGGCCAAGATGAATGCATGACGACACATTTGAATATAAATAATGTTTTTATCCAGATGGAAACAACTTATGGCCAATTGGGGGCTGGCCACTTTGCCCCGGCCGCTTTGCCCCGCGCTACCGTCCGAGACAAAAATATTCCAGCTCAGCTATTAGTGGGGTAAAAAGCATTAAAATTGGTAGAAGGCATGTACGATAACCACGCAATGCATGGACAAAAACGCTTATAAAAATTCCAAACGGTTATGGAATAAAATAACATTTAAAAATTGTAAACATAATTGGTAACCTGGCAAGAAATGCTTTTCCGTGTTTCACAGAACAATGGCGATGGGCCTGAAACCCCGGTCTGGCTCATTCGAACGACCGCAAAGAGAAGTATAATTGGAAATCATAAATTGGAACTGACGCCAGCTGTGGAGGGCTAAAACGATGGGTGGCCGCTTTGCCCCGGGTGGCCGCTTTGCCCCACTCTCCCCTAACTATAGGTGTCCAGCATTACGCGCAGCGTAACAAATCAATTTTCATTAAAATCGGTCCAGTAGCGGCCGAGTTATTGCCAGAATAAATTTGGCGTCTCCTCCTGGCCGGCGGTGCTCTGTTCCGGTCAGGGACGTAGCCAAGGGGGGGGCGGAGGGGGCGCCCGCCCCTCCCTTGGGGTTTTCAGGAGGCCCCCGAAAGGATTCAGGTCAACGTGGGCCGAAGGCCCACGTTGGCCTGAATCCTTTCGGCCTGAATCCAACGTGGGCCGAAGGCCAAAATCACGTCGGAGGCGAACGAAATTCACGCGGGAATCTAAAAAATGACGTCAGAACAATCAGGGCCCTCTGACCAGCCTGACAAGTGACAGCTAGGGCCCTTCTCATCTCCTGTGAATAACCACTAGTGTCTGTGTCTGACCGCTAGGGCCCCTCTGACTCCTCAGTAGAGGCCCTCTGTGGGTAGGAGGCCCTGTGTAGAGAGGAGGCCCCCTTAGAGAGGAGACCCCCTGTAGAGAGGAGGCCCTCTGCAAAAAGGAGGCCCTCTGTAAAAAGAGGCCCTCTGTAAAAAAGAGGCCCTCTGTAAAAAAGAGGCCCTCTGTAAAAAAGAGGCCCTCTGTAAAAAGGAGGCCCTCTGTAGAGAGCAGGCCCTCTGTAAAGAGGAAACCGTCTGAAATCAGAAGGCCCTTTGAAGAGAGGAGTCCCTCTGTAGAGAGGAGATCGTCTGAAGAGAGGAGGCCCTCTGTAGAGGAGGACTCCCTCAGTAGAAAGGAGGTCCTCTGTAGGTAGGAGGCCCTCTGTAGAGTGAAGGCCCTCTGAAGAGAGAAGGCCCTTTGCAGAGACGAGGTCCTCTGTATAGAGGAGGTCCTGTGTAGAGACGAGACTCTGAAGAGAGGAGGCCCTACATAACGGGTGGTCAGTATGAAACTGGACAAAATTTGATTAAGCATAGTATCTCCAATTATGGACAGATTTTACTTATTTTTGGCAGGTGAATACTTCCAGTTATTCTATATTACCAGCTCAGATTTCAACTTTCTGCTATTTACGAGAAGAAAACATTGCGCCGGTAAGTCAGCAAGCGTTCCGGGACCTGTTCGCGCAAGTTTGTGAAAATAACACAAAGTACAAAAATGCTACCATTATGCGTCACATTACGCCATAGGGTGTAACCAGATCTTAAGAATATGTGATCATCGATAAATTCTGAGGACTTGCAGATGTTTTGCATGGTGGAAACGGCAAGATCACCAAGAAAATGCTCATTCAGCACCGGAAGAAACAAACCGGCGCCGTCACCGAACAGTTGGGGCTCTCCTTGTGATCTCTGGGAAGACATTTTGGAATCTTCAAAACATATGACCAATTAATGTGTCAACAAGCAGGAATCAGGTACAAAAATAGGATAAAGGTGACGGAGGCACAATTTCGTACGCAGAAAACCCGCCTGCGCCGTCTGTCACAGGGTCCAATTCAGGGTAGCAAAAACATGGAGGTGCATATGGACGAAGAATCTTACTTCACCTGCAGTGGCAGCCAAATGCCTTTCATTGCCGAATTTTACACCTCAGCTGGTGGAGACACTATTCCACATGTGGATCGCACCTTCGTTTTCGACCTGAGAGCAAGCATCCACCCGAGATGCCCGTCTGGCTTGCCATGAGTCCAAGGGGCTCACGCGTCCAGTAACTTCCCGAGCACAGGCAATGTAAAGGGCGAACTGTGCTATGAAAAGTGTTTGAATGGCGTGTTGTTACCACTTATTGAGTCTCAGAACACAGAGCATGATGTTCTGTTAGGTTCCGACCTTGCAACAGTGACAGTACGCGCGCTAGAACACGAAGCTTCTTGAGGAGGCTGGGGTGCCCGAAATAGCACGTGACATGAACCCACCATGAACCCCTCAGATTTAGCCCATTGAGGATCTGTGGGGGCTCATCGAACAGAAAGTGTATAAGGGAAGGTGACAGGTCAGCTGAGACGCACAATTGAAGCAGAGAATCCAGCAGGCCATCCGTCAAATTGACCCGGAGGTGCCGCGAAAGACAAAAGC